TAGATAGATAGATAGATAGATAGATAGATAGATAGATAGATAGATAGATAGATAGATAGATAGATAGATAGATAGATAGATAGATAGATAGATAGATAGATAGATAGATAGATAGATAGATAGATAGATAGATAGATAGATAGATAGATAGATAGATAGATAGATAGATAGATAGATAGATAGATAGATAGATAGATAGATAGATAGATAGATAGATAGATAGATAGATAGATAGATAGATAGATAGATAGATAGATAGATAGATAGATAGATAGATAGATAGATAGATAGATAGATAGATAGATAGATAGATAGATAGATAGATAGATAGATAGATAGATAGATAGATAGATAGATAGATAGATAGATAGATAGATAGATAGATAGATAGATAGATAGATAGATAGATAGATAGATAGATAGATAGATAGATAGATAGATAGATAGATAGATAGATAGATAGATAGATAGATAGATAGATAGATAGATAGATAGATAGATAGATAGATAGATAGATAGATAGATAGATAGATAGATAGATAGATAGATAGATAGATAGATAGATAGATAGATAGATAGATAGATAGATAGATAGATAGATAGATAGATAGATAGATAGATAGATAGATAGATAGATAGATAGATAGATAGATAGATAGATAGATAGATAGATAGATAGATAGTCAGAATTGACATGGGTCGAACATAATATAAAACTATGGGAACCGGTAGGCCACAAGGCAGAGTTTTGGACTTTGCCTTGTCTAGGTTATTGGAAAGGACCCTTTGGAAATACACGTGGTGGTTGGGGTTGAAACCCAAATGCGCGGGAACAGGATGTCGGTTAAAATACTAATGCACGGTAAAGTCTATAATTTGGGATTAGTTCGGTGCTGTTGCCGAAGTCAACAGATAACCCATAGGGGAGTGCCTGTGGAAATGAGATGGTGTTAAGTGTATATTATCCAGGATGGATATAGGGTATATGGAATTTGCCCACCCGTATACATAAGTAAGTGCATCTAATGTTGTTCTCTATGAGTGTGTCAAATGAATGGGAAGTGTGCTGAGTTGAATGGTGATGGATGAAAAGTATCTTATAAAAGTGATACCATTGAATTTTCCTTCCTTGCCCAGGTTCAGGGTTTACTCTGTTCATATCACATTAACCACAATGTGTTCTCTGTGAGTAAGAACAAAGTCCTCGGCTTATTTGATAGATTAGTGTTTCGGTCTACTGTATATGTACGTCTGTAGGTGCTGTTGCCGACTTAATAGAGGCCATCTTATCTGCGTGGTTGTAAACAGAAATGATGTTTTTGCATCTCGGAAGTTAAGCAACGAGTCAGCAGTAGTCCGAGATCAGATAGCTCGAGTACTTGAGGAAAGTGTTTGTACCTGGACCGGCAGAACCATGTACAAAAATTTCCACTGGCGTGAAAGAAACACAAAGGGGCAGTGGTGAGTCGTCTAGTTGGCCACTCAGTGGTTGAAAAAGTAACACCGTGAAATAAGGCCAGCACGGCAGGTGTTCACGTAAAGCACTTCGACATGCATTCAAGCAGCATTTCGTACATCCAAAATTGACGTATGGTACCAAAGTTTGATAGAGTATGACAACAATTACCAATTCTGAACCGTTCAAACCATCTTAGATATCATTAAGATCCTTTGAACTTGTTTAAACCAGAAGTTGAGGTGTAACCCCAATTAGCTAAATCTTGTCAAAAGAGGGCTGGTTGTTTTATATTTGCCAAAGCAAAGGGAACAACGACCAACGGTATCGAAAAGCAAAATATTATATTATTCATCATGATCTACACTTTTACACTAAAAACACACTAAAATAACATTTGTTTACAGATTGTACAATAACGGCTTCATTAAATATTCACAAAATGTATGTAAACAAAAAAAAAAAAAACACACTGCCACAAACATACAGAGAATCTATGAAGAAGGTATTACATTTACACATATTCAAAAATCATAAAATAATATTTTTTTTTTTTTATTTTTGGAAGAAAACAAAATAGAAATAAAAAAACACACTCATACACTATTTACAACAACAACAGAAAACTATAAAAAATCAATTTTCAAATAATAATTCCATTTAGATTGGAGAAAATAATTAGTGAAGCATGTAAAAGTTTTTCGATAAAGATACAAATAAGAGTATTATATGTAAAAACAGATACATATAAAAACTAAAACACAAGAAAATACATACAAACATACATATGTATCTACATACATAGATATGTATGTATGTAATTTATGTTTCTTTTAAAATCAAATCCTCAATTTATGCTCACAATTTAACATCGATTTAAGCAATAATTCAATTCACTGCTTATAAATTGGCATAAAACAGTTGTAAACTAAATTTCACAAGAGTTCATTGACTGTTGAAGTGAGTAGTCGATGTAGTAGTAGTAGGTCATCTCATGTTTTGGGGAAATTTGTTAAATTGCAAATTAGTAAATTTAATTTTAAAAGTATTTTAATGTTTAACTATTATTTTCATAGCCAATGGCCAAATAATGAATTACATATGTATATACTTGATCGTAATTTGGATCGAGGAGAAGAATTTTACTGGAAAAAACTGTAACAAAATACCCTTTTGTTCACCATATAAAAACTAATAAAATATTAAAGTATTTTCTAAAGATTTTTTTGTTAATACATACTCAACCCTAGGCTACATTGAAAGCAGGCTTAGGTTTAGGTTTAGGTAAGAAGGGCAGCCATTCAATCAAGGATGAGTGGCTCACATGGGTCCACCTAATTGCGGTCCCGTTGTGTTACCCTAGTGGTCGTAGGGGTACGCTTGACTATTACTCTCTACTTCCAGATTTAAACCAACCGGTTTGATTCACAAAGTTTAGGATATTCTTCAGGCATATCCCAGATAGCTCATCCAGACAAGATAAAGCAGCAAGGCCAAAACATTGTTCTCTGCTTTCATTGAAAGATGAAAGCAGGCTTTCGTTTGTTAAATTTGTTTTGATTTGGCCCGTAGCTTCAAACATTTGGTCCTGATCAATTCTCAGCCAAAAAATAATTAATAATGATGCAGTATTGATCTCCATTGATCGTCCCACGTGCTCCCCGACTTTATTCAAAAGTTAAGGTCCGATAACTGCCCTCCTGTTTTAATCACTTAGCGCCCGGATCAATGTCATTCATATTTTCTGACAAAAATATACATAAAAATGCCATAACTGGTCCTGGTTTATCAGCATAAACTAATGATTTCACGTTACCCCACAGGAAATATTCGATAAGAGTCAAATGGCAAATACAAGATCTCAAGAGACCAATTATCAAGCCCATTTATAGAATCCGGTTTTCGCTAAATTTTGATAGTTATTTGACCCTGACTAATTCTCAGACAGCTTCATTTTTGAAGAGATAAGTTCCGGTGATGAAACGATCGTGTAAAATTCTTAAACAGTGCCCTCCTACTGCATCATCCTGTTTAAATCACATAGCGCCCGGATCAATGTCATTCATACCCGTTATGCTAACAAATAGCCTCATTGTGGAGGCATAAAACATCGGGTCAATCAATGACTGACTCTAAAAGTAAAAGTTGATAATATGGTAGCATTGTTCTGAATATTCTGAGAATAAGTTCATTTGATATGTAAACCCTTCGTAAGTTCCATCGATGTTTAAACAACAACTTTATTTAATTCAGAATTTTATTCAGACTAGATACGCTATTCTCTAATAATGCTCGAACATGGTGACATTTAACATTGACAGTTTTTCATAATGGATTTAACAAAATCGTTGAATCAGTTAGATAAAAGTTTAAAATCAACGATAAATGTTTTATAATTAGGTATTTTTAAATTGGGATAATAATATGAATAATATATGTATGTATAAAATACATACATAAACATATTTACATTAGGGGGTTCATACAAATTTATTCATATTTTTATTATACTCCTCACGAATTCGTGAGATGAGTTAGCGCACGTAATTTAGTTATGCACGAACATATGTTTGTTAAAATAACTTCCTGATGTCCTTCGATATCTTTAATAATTCTGAAAAATAAATAACGGAAAAGTTCCTTTATATTCGGTAAATTTTGGAAAATCCCATGATGATTGTTTATAGTATTTCGGAGACGAAATACTCCGTTTTATATTAGGTTCGACATATCCGAATATAGGATAATTGTGGTAAAAAGATTCAAAAAAAATTATCCATAATGATCCATAAACTGTGAAAATTTTACTAATACCCTTTAAATTGAAATATTTTCCTTTCATTTAGAACAATTTTGAAACTTTTGGTCCTTCCTATTATTTTATAGCTTTAGCCAGTAGCAATTTAAAACGAGAAATGTATATAAAACCCAACAGATATAAAATTGCATTTAAATTCCCTTAGGAAAGCTTAATTGGCAAGAAATAAGACAAAAAAATTACAAAATAAAACAAAAAAAGTGAACAGAACAAAAATGAAGACAACAAAATAATAAACAATAAATCCATAAGATACAAACACCAAAAACAAAACTGAAACAAAAAAAAAAAAAACAAGACAAGACACGTACAAACATGATTTCTCAAGCAAGATAAATTTACAAAAAGAACCTTCTTTCTCTACCAGCAGAAAACTGAAAAACAATATAGTAGAAAAAAAGAAACCTCAATTTTAACATAAAACCTGAAGAAGTAGTGGAAGAAGAGTGGAACAGGGAAGTCACAAGTAAGAGGAAGTTAAACACAAAAGCAGAATTAGAAGAAGAGGCCTGTTCAAAGTAAATTAATAAAGTAGCGACAGTTCTACAACAAATACAACATTTACAAAAACCACAAACGATTTTGTTTTTGGTTTAAGGTCTTTGCTGTCAAAATCATATGATCTTTGTTTACAAAAATTTTCTTTGATAACAACACAAAAAAATAATATTTTAGTAAAAGACATTTTATTAGTTTAGTTTAAGAATAAATAAAAATGCAAATAAATAAAAAATGTGTCAGCAATTTATTTAAGTTTGACATACATTTAATAGAAATATAGTATTTTTTCTCCAAGAAATATGGAAACTACTTCTGGACTTATTCACTTATTCTCGGCTGGTCGTTTTGGCTTATTGTAAACAATCCAGGTGGAGGGTACATCCCGTGCATTTGATCATATTTTCAGGCCAGCTGCTACACCATTATGAAATGTTGGCCATAAACTCATATTGGCCTGGAATTCAATTTGCTGCATTTCAACAGTGGTTCCTTTAATAGGTTTCTTGCTGGTTAGACATAGTTTTGGTATTGGCATTGATTCCGTTGGTTCTTAAAGTAAACATACCTCCTCTACCCAAAGGTAAAGTAATGGTACGAGTGCACAATGTAAATAATTGTTTTTCTTGCTCCTCAATAAATTCATGATCAGAAGTTCCAGGCGATTGTGTAATATCTATCTGTTATGCGCATATCATCCGGATAACGTAGACTTAAGAATTTGGTACCTATATTATCCATGCCATCATCTAAAGCACCTTCCATTTGTGATATGCCACTTTTAGAGGGTGGACAACGAGCCGATAAGGAGTCTTCCGTGACTATGTTCATATTTTGCGAATAATTTGAACTTTTATTTAGGGCATAATTTCGTAAATCCCTACGCCTCACTTCACCTATCAATTTTTAAATTTGTATTTTGTAAAACACTTCATTATGGCAGGTGATTGTTTGCGTTGAAACAAGTGCTTCGTTATTTGTGAAAAATGTATAAAAAATTATATTTTATAAAACTCATCACCTGAAAAATACACACTTGAAACTTCAAATCGAACACCTAATTTATTCAGGCGTTCGCTTTGAAATTTTATTGAATAAATTATGTACATGTAACAGCTATCTTTATGGAAAAGTTGTGATATTGAAGCTACTCGACCTCGTACGGGAAAGGACGCAAATTGGTATATATTTCTATTGATACTACAATGAAACTCATTCTCTGAAATTAGAGCACTTATATCCATATATGAATTTTATCCAGATTTTGTAGCTGAATGGCGATTGGATAACATTACACAATCTTCATATACATACATAGCTAAAGTCACTCCATTGTAATATCGATAGAACTCGGTGACGGTGCTCCAATGTATCAATAAAGTTGGAATACAGATTTCACCTAATACGCGATCGAGTAGCTCCGTATGATAAAGTGTTCACTTTTGAATGTGAAGTGTAGGTGATGCGTTCAACGCAAAGGATTTACGAAATAACCCCCTTAGTGTAGCAAAAGTACAATTATTATTATTACCTTCCACATAATTATACGGCAATGCATTCAGTTGGTTAAAAACACTAGGAGCTTGCACCTGTGAAAGTTCCTTGTAAGACATTTGAGAACCATGCTGTTCGGTTAAAATACAAGTCTTGGAACAATTTTTCACCAGCAAAGGAAAATCCATAGCATGACGAAAAGTATAAGATTGTAATTGCATTACGTAGGCCAATTGATGCAGAAACTAATTAAGGAAAATAAAACCAAATATTTTATAATATTCATTTGAAATTAAATTGCTGGCTAACTTTGCTTGGCTCACCTTGGCTAATGGCAACAAATGTGCATGCATAATATCGTCCAATTTAAAGTCCTCATAGAGTAAATGAAAACTATAAAATATCGCCAGCATTGTATGAATAAACAAGCCGTAGTATCAATATTGTACATTGTGAATAATTTTCTTTTGATGGTTTATTATCCGATCCATCTAGAATGGACAACATAAATTGTCAATCTTCTTCGGTACCCGAATGTATTTCATCATTTTTTTTTTATTTTCTTTGGATCTTCAGCACTAAACGATGTAGCAGTGTTACTGCTATAATCATGCATAACAGCTGAAAATCCCATTAGATGTTTTGTTCTGAAGGCAAGAGACTTAAACAAATGGTCCATACACACATAAGCAGGTGCCGGGAGTTGCATCTTGCAAGCCTCCATCCACTTTCGTCGCCTCCTCTCATCTGTGGGGACAATAAAAAAGCTCCCATTTCCTTTTTTGGAAATTTTCTTGCAAATTATACACCTTTTCATAATTTTTTAGTACATAAACCACACAAAATTCAAGTTTTTTCACTTTTATTTTTATTTTTTATAAAACAACACACAATTTAATTTTTTTCCACTAAAACAAATATGGCAAATAATTTGACATAAAAGTCTTTGGTTGAAGCTGTCAAAAATTGCAACGTAAACAATTTTGACATTTTCGTCCATAAGTGAGTTTTAAAAAAAATAGTCAGCTGTTCTACTGAGTCTACTTTATAAATTTACTTTGGGCCTGTTTTTATACTGTCGTTTTGTAGGAGAAATGCAAAAAAAGAAAACAGCTGATAAGTATATACCTCTAAATGAGAAATCCATATAGAAAACATATGTTTTGTGTTATTTACTTTTTTTTTGCTTCTTGTTTTTTTTTTTTTTTTTTTTGTTCAAAAACACAAACACCGAAACAGAGAATCAACGGTCACATAGAGACAGGGGGAGACACATCGGGTTAGGGGCCATGACTAGTAGAACAAAAACAAAATAAAAGTAAATAAATAAACATTAAAAATATACTCAATATACATATATAAACACACACTCACTCTCATAAGGTGACTGTAAATAAAAGAGGAGGAAAACACCAAAAAAACAGAACGAGTACAATAACAATACAAAAACACTCATTGTTCTTTACAAATATACTTCTCGACCACTTATATCCAAATATATACACCCATTCTTACATAAATATTCATATATTAACACACATACGTTATTACATACAACAAACATACAGACATATAGGTACACTATGTATGAGCAACAACAACACAAAACAGAAAATAAATAACCAAAATGTTACACACGGTTACTCTCTGTGAAAAGAAAATCATATGTAAAAAACAATTCAGAGTTTTATATTCGGCTATATCGAATCCTATATATACCCACCACCAATCATTACACAAAAGTGGAGGACTTCAATACTTCAACAGACGGAAGGATCTAAATGTTTTCGTACAATTTCATTGCTAACTTCCCTTTTTAGTGAACCGACAGACGGAAGAAACCACACACAGTTTTGTACTGTTTCATTTCCTGTTTTAATGTAACGAATTTTTCATCGATCGATATGCTGCAGACAATCCTATCTTCTCTTTTTTGTTGAGATATATTTTCCGTTAATAAAAATTGCCGAATTTATGTATGGGGGATATGGTAGTCGTGAGTTGGTTCTAGAACCGATTGTTAAAACTATTTGGTTATTTCAAAAGAGGAGAATAGCATAGAGTTTCTAAAGACTGTGGCTCCAGTAGGTTAGTATGGTAGACTGAAGGTCGTTTGTTCGACTTCCACCTGAGGCAATAGTACACAACAGGCCTAATAGAGGCCTTGTTGTATTTCTTCAGACTTGGTATGTGTAACCAACTAACTGCTTAAAACTTTAGATCCGCCGATCCGCTCAGAATTTTAAAAGCTTAAAACCTAAAGCTCCCATTTTTGACGGAATGTTTCAGTTTGAAGACGTCTTCTCTTAAGTAATATAGATTGAAAAGTTTTTACTAAGTTACAAACGATTTAATAAATTTAATATAGCCTCTCAACTTTGTGTGTAAAAACTTAAATACAACATCAAAAATACATACATATTACAATACAACAACAAAAATATATGTACAATTTGTGCAAATCAGTTTTTTAAAATAATGTATTCTTTATGGAAGTTTTCATTTTCACTTTTAAGTCCAAATTTTTTCATTGTGATGTAAAGATTGGAACTAAAAAATATCACTGGCCGACAAAATTTGAAAAAAGTCGAAACCCTAAAAACAAGTTATACATTTCTTAAGGATTGAGCCGCTGAATCTGAATTTGGGATTGTAGATATAGGCAGTTAGAATTCCATACGGGTATTTGGAATACTGAAACGAAAGAGATCCTGTGAGATGATCCTAATGAGAGGAGGACAAGAAGCCGCCTCAGAATGAAGAAGTCCTAGGTTAGTATGACAGTTTAAAAACTAATAACTTGGTGGGACACATAAGTATTAGAAATACATTTATGATTGATCCATATATATGGATTCCTGACTGTGGATCAACAGTTCTGATACTACACAAAACCTTTGAGGTTCTTATACCAAAAAGGGACCAATGGGCAAACCTAACTGATCAAGTATGGTTTACAGATAGTTCCAAACAGATAAATGACAACACTGGAGCGGGAATCTATAGCAAATTTCCAAAAGGCCATCTCTATGGGTAATTACCCCTCACACTTCCAGACAGAAGTGTATGCAGTTATTATTTACATTAGTGAATGTCTGAGAAGAAAACTTAGAGAATCAAAGACATTTGTGATGTCGGATAGTTTGGCGGCCTTTAAGGCTTTACTATCATATTAAATCAGGTCAAGTATGACACTTGACTGTTTGACATCTCTAAATGAACTGGGTAAACATAATAAACCCACATTATGTTGGCCATGAAGGAGCCGACAGGGGAGCATGGCGCCCATTTATTGGACCAGATCTATTCTTTGGTATCCTCAAAGGATACATTAGGGAAAAATGCGATTCATATGTTGAATCTGAATTTCTCCACCACTGGAGTCAATATCAGGACTCAGACAGGCAAAAAGCTTCAAAATGCTAGTAAAAGATAATTCACAAAAGTTACTGTCACTTAATATGAGTAACCTATGATTACTAACGGGACTTTACACCGGATAATGTGGACTTAAATACAACCAGCACATTCTTGATAACAATGAGAATGTGGTGATGGTGCAGATTCTGTGAAATGCATGATGAAACCTCTATACATGTACTTTGTCACTGACAGCCACTATGGCCTCTCGGAGTGAGTATTTTGGGACGTGCATTTATTTCGCCTAATGAAATATTGAATCTCTCATCATCTAGAACATTAAGATTCATGCGAGAACTTAATCTCCAATGGTGAACCAAAAGGGTTGCACAAAGGATCTTAACTTGGGTCGTAGTGATTGGTGGCCCCTTAATCAATCAATCAATACAACTATACTTTGGCCTCTGGATTAAATGGTACGTATTCTACAGAGACGAATTCAGGAACAAATGTAGTTAATAAGGAGAACGCTGTGAAACTCTTGAAAATTTTCTTTGTTATTGCCAGATTTTTGTCGAAATTAAATCTAATTATCTTGGAACAATGGTATGCAAGATATTGCATCGCTCAGACACATTGTAAGGAAAATTCTAAGGAACTAAGCCCAGGAAACTTGTTTCCTGAACAATGAAAGAAAAAACATTCATAGAGCGGCTAGGTCTATCTGATGTAGTCCTTTCTAGAATCTGATGTAGTCCTTTCAAATTATTTACATTTAAAGCGTTATAGTTCGCTGATTTTGTATATACAGAGATCTGAAGAAACTCCATTCAGACAAATTTAAATATCGGTCTACTAAAGCAAATCCGAAATTTCTAATTTACATTAATATCACAACATTAGCGAGGTTTCAACTCCCTATCTCCTTTTGTTTTGATGCATATAATCTATAAGGAACAAGTATATTTATATGTTTATGGTTCTATGACCAGTCTTCTGATCAGTTACAAACGGAATGATAAAATCAATATATCCTAATCGTTTTGATGGTGGATATGAAGAGAAATCCCACTGATTTGTAAGAGATTTTATAAAAATTTAAGTAAAACGTTTAAATCAAAATTTAGTTAACACTTTTCACTTTTCAGTAGTCAGGAGATTTGGGATGTTTATTCCTATCAAATTTTAAACTTAATAGTAAGTTTTCTCATCAGCTGATCGCACTTTTAAGTTTCTTATTCAAATTTTATCCCAAAATCGAGAAGTCAAAATCCATATTTTTAGATTAATCTTTAATCAATCACTGATCTTTTCAGTTTTGATTAAATTTAAGTTAAAAACTTAAAATTAATGCAAATATCTCCGGTCAGGAAGGTAGTCCAATATAGTTTTGCATGTTAAAATTTGGGATATTTGAAATAAAATCAATACACTCTCTCAAATAGCAGTGTAAACTAAATTTATATCTAGATACATATGTATATGCATGTTTGATTACTTTGGTTACTTTTGGGATGATTGGGATGGATGTTAGTACGTACAACTTGTATGTACCAGGCCTCTAAGAAAAATAAAAATCTATAGGTATATAAACCGAAACCAAACCATGAAAAAAAGAAATAATATTACTAAATTTTACTTCGGTTCTCTTTTTCTCATATATTTTCACTCTCGCTCTCTCTCTTTCTGCTACTTTTGCTCACTATATACTAAGGGTTAGTGGTTACAAATTGACAATTGAGCTCAATGAGTAGCTTGACTAAAGCAAAATCTGAGTAATTGTGTGATATATATGTATATAGAAGAGATATTTGTATATCGTATGAGTGTGTGTAGATATTGTTTATTATTATTTTTCAGCTATTGTGGATGGTGGTGTGGTGCTATTGTGATGAAGAGTAAGGTGGTGGTGCATATACAATTTGTGTGCTCGAAATGTTTGTTTGTTGTGTATAGTATGTAAGTGTAAGTAGTATATGCATAGAACAATAACCAACAAACGACCTGTACGACAGTGAGTGAGTCAGTTTGCTATAATACAGGACCGTCAAGAGCTATAAAAGGCTGCAGCAACTAACCGGCCGGAATAGTAGCTTCGTAGCACTGCTGTTGACAACACATCTGAAACAACAACAATAATAATAATAATATTTAATAATTTAAAAATTTTAGCCTTAAAATTCACTAACCACAAAGGCAAAAACAAACATCATTATTATTGTTATTATTAACTAAATAATTAAGAACGACCAAAAATTAAAACAGCAGCAGCCGCAACAGAAAAAAAAATTTTGTTAAACATTTTGTTTTTATTAAATATTTGTTTCTTTTTAAATTTTTAAAATCATAATAAAATATATTGTTAAAAAAATTTCCTTACCTCATAAAAATCACTCAACAGCAGCAAAGAAGAAAACAAGGAAATTTTGTTAAAAAATTAATTTAAGAAAAATTAAACGAAAAAAAAGTTTTAAATAATAAATAACGTTTTTATGGCAAAACTAAAGTGTTGATAATATTTTAACAAGAAAAATCGATGAGCACAAGGAAATTATTAAAATAAACTTTAAAGTTTATTTGCAAACAAGAAAATATATATGTATATGAAAAGAAATTAATTGATTGATTAAAGAAAAGAAAAAGTGCCGTATAACGAAGCAAGCGAAAGAAAATTTTTCAAACATTTTCTTTGTTGTAAAACAGCAGCAGCGGCAGCGGCAACAGAAAGAAAATTGTTTTCCCCCAAAATCAAATTGTGATATTTTATAATTTTAAATACTTGCTTTATGTTTTATTAAACATCATTATCATCATCATCAACAAACACAACAACAACAAAAACCTTAATTAATACTACTACTAAATATAATTGATTTAATTAATTGTTTTAATTTGAATAAATGAACATGGAGGTGTTATCCGTACAAAATCAATATCCAGCTCATTTTGCTCTAGCTACAGGTAAATATAAAAATTTTAACTTTTTTTAAAGAGTTTAAAAGTTTTGAAAGTTTTTGGGAAGAGAAGTTAATGTTTAGGAAGTAAAGTAATCAATATTTCATAAGGTTTCCTGTTTTTGGGCTTTTGGCCTTTAGGAAAACCTGAAGTTAATTTGAAGTTAAAGAGTTAAAAGTTAATGCTTTAAATGTATATGTATATGTTTAGCTTAAACAGGAAAATTTGTATCCCTAGTAAGGGGTTTTTATGTATCTGTTGGCACTCGTCGTCGTCGTTGTCGTATTTATGTATATGGTGTGTATCTATCTATTTTGGCCCATACGACCGACCGAGTTGTATACAAAAAACAACTGATTTCCAGCTGTGCTATCAGCTGGAAACAAGTTTTTCCACTTTGCCGTTTTACTTTAATTTTCTTCCCTACAAACAAGTACACAATTTTCACATACACATACTTGCATACATATGTATGTATATGTACATATATACAAATGTTTTTCTGTAACCTAGCCAAACCGGCCCCTATTAATTTTATAGTTATTGTATCTTTCAAATTTTCTCTCAATTGTTTTGAGTTCAAAATTTTGAGTGTTTATCATTTTATCTCTTTGTAGAGTAAACTTACACTCTTGAGTTTTTCTTTAGATTAAGAAAATTTTATTTAAGAGAAATTTTTATTTTACAGGTTTTTCTTTTTAGAGGAGAAACAGGTTTTCATTTTGAGGAAAATTTTACTAGGGTAAGGGTTGTTTAACTTATTAAGGATGTAAATAAATCAGGAAAAGTTTTAATAGGAATTAGTTTTTGCTGATTTTAAATTAAAGATTTTTTAAATTTTTTGGAAAATTTAAAGAAAATTTTTAAAGAAAGATTTTAAATATTCTAAAAAAATAGACATAGATATGTGATTTTAAAGGAATTTAAAAAAAAGTTTTTAAATACTATAAAATTTTAAAATAAAATTAAAAGAAATTTTAAAAAATTTTCTAAAATTTTCAAAATTTTTAGAAAATTAAAGAAAAATTCCAAATATTTAAATTTATATTATCACAGAATCTAAAAAGTATTTTTAACAATTTTAAGAAATTTTTGAACCAAAAAATATTTTATAAAAATATAAAATAATTTTAAAAAAATTTCAAAATTTTTAGAAAATTAAAGAAAAATTCAAAATATTTAAATTAGTTTTATAACAAAAACTAAAAAATATTTTCAACAATTTTAAGACAAAAAAAGTTTTATAAAAATAAAAAATAATTTAAAAAAATTTCAAAATTTTTAGAAAATTAAAGAAAAATTCAAAATATAATATTTTCAACAATTTTCAAAAATTTTTGAACAAAAATATATTAAAAAAAATAAAAAATAATTTAAAAAAAAATTCCAAAATTTTTAGAAAATTTAAGAAAAATTCAAAATATTTATTTTCAAAAATTTTTAAACAAAAAAATATATAAAAAAAAAAATTATTTAAAAAAATTTCTAAACAAATAATTTAAAACAGTTTATTAAACAAAAAAAACTCTTAAATAAAACTAAAAAGGGGGTAATTTCACAAAATTTTTATAAAGAAATTTCTAGTATTGAAATTTTTGAAAAATTTAAAAAAAAAAAATAAATATTAGATGAACAAATTTGTGTTTAATTGTTTTAACAAATTCTTATTAAATATTTATCTTTTTTACAATTTTAGATTGGAAGAGTCAACTAACATTATCCACACCCACAAATGGCGGTTCCTTGAAATCTCAGCCGTCGTATAAATTTACCAGTAACCCATTTAAGCCACATCATCACATCAATCATCCACATCATCACCATCATCATCAACGGAAACAACAAAATTTAAAAACATCTAATAGTGTTAAATACACCTCCAACTCCTCAAACAAATTAAACTGTGATACAATAAAAACAACAAAAACTACAACAACAACAACCACAACAACAACAGCGACTAAAACAATTAACACCAATAAATCGCTACAAACACAAGCTGTCCAAGAATTATCGTTGCGTTTATTGGATGAATTGCGTGCAGCCAAATCTCGCCATTTGGCCTGTACCGAAGTATCGCTACCCTGTGATCTCACACCACGCATAGCGTTGGAAATTTTACGTTTAGCCCGTGAAGAAGCCAATGGTTTACGCGATTGCACCATCTATATCGAATTCGAGGATGAGCCCAACAATTCTCGACGCATAGCAACACTCGACTTGAATGCTCAACGCTTTGGCAATACTGGCTATGAAATTTATGTTACCCTTAGCCAGGATCATCGCGGCTGGACTGCTTTATTGCCACAATTCATGAAGAATTTATCGCGTACCATAACCATAAGTCCTGAGTTTAATATAACCAAACATCGGCCATACTCTAAGAGTTTGTGTTAAACGGAAGAATAGGTAACAAAAAAAGAAATTTAAAAGCAAATAATATTTAATAAAATTTGGTTGGCATATAAAATATCATCTTTAAAAAAAAATATATATATACAAACTTACATTCATACTAACTACATACATAGCTACTTGTGGCTATAGAAAAGCATATAACGAAAAAAAAAACGTTTTCTCATACAAAAACACTGTAATACACTTACACACACACTGTAAAGACCAAAATGTTAAAGTAAATTTATTAAAAAAAAAGAACCACCCACCTTTTTAGATTTCTACTTTTATTAGTAAAAGTTGAAAAAAAATCTTAAAAAAAAAAACTCAACAAAACCCACTAAAATACCAACCTGTTTTTTAAAAGAAAAGAAAAATTTCTATTAAATTTTTGTTAAAATTTCTCTCAGAAAAATTTTATAATTTTATAGGATTTTAGGCTTTTAACAAATCTCATAAAAAACATTTGTTCAAATTAGGTTTTAACAAATTATTTATTATTTTTTTTTATACATTAATTTTTAAAAATTTAAAAAGAAACAAAAAATTCTTTTAAACAATTAATTTTGTTATTTGACAAATTTTTTTTCATGGTATAAGTATTATATTTTTTAAAAAAATGGCAGCACTTATACTCTAAAAAAAATAAATTTTTATTAAAAAACAAAAAAAAAAAAAAAACTTTCATGAAACGATATGAAGTATTTGCCAAGATCTCCAACTCATAAAAATGTGATACTGATTAAGTTGCTTAGGTTAAGACATCAAATACAAAATAATTATTAAATTAAAAAAAAAATACACAACAAATAATAAATTCAAAACACATCCATTTTAAATTTTAAGTGAAAAACAAAATTCAAAATTACAAAATTTTTATAAAAATAAAAACAAAACAAACAACTCAAGGCTGCATTACTGGCTTAATGTTTAGGACCTTAACAAAAAAAAATAAAATTAATCAATTAACAATTGTGAACTTTTTAAAAAAAAACTACAAAAAAACAAATAAAGAAAACTGCGATATATGAAAACGTCTTGATATCAAATTTCAAATTTAATATAAAAATACAAAAAAAAAAAAACAAAAACAAAAACACAAAGAAAAAGAAATTATAAATTTTTTTATCATTTGAAAAAATACAAAAAAAACAAATTCAAAAAATAAATAAATAATCATATGAAATGAATATCTCTTAGTTTGTAAGTTTCTAAATACAACAACAAAAAAGAAAAACATAAACTAAACTCCTCCCCCTTTAAAAAACAAAAAAAAAACCTAAAAAAACGAATAAATTTAAATTTAAACTACAACAAGTATTTATTATAAATGTGTTATCAAAACAAACAACCAATAAACAACAACAACTACAAAAACCAACAAAATTAATTATATATCACCTTATTACTACCACCATATATATTACACAAAATTAAAAACAACAACAATAATAAATTTTCTCATTTTATTTTTTGTGTATTTTTTTAAAAAAATTAATTTTTTTCTCTAAAACAGAAAAAAATAAATAAATTTGTTTAAAAATTTTTTATAAATTAAAAACAAAAGCAAAACGATTATTGTTATAATCGTTTAATTACAAATTTATATTATTATTAACATTAAAATTATTATTATTATTACAATTATTATTATTGTACTTATACAGTTAAGTTTTTATTCGTATTAACGAAATGTATTAATTATTATTATCAAATTTTTTTAATTAACTTTGTTTTTTGTACATCCCCCCCCCCCTCCCTTTTTTCAATTAATAATTTAATTTGAAAACTGTGACATCTTAAATATTCTTTAATACATTTTAAGAAAACCCACAAAAAACAAAAAAAAAAAAAAAAAACAAAATGAATTATTGTAAACATAATTAATTCTCTAGGATAACAAATTTAAAAATTAATCATCATTTTTGTATGAATTATTATAAATTATTAGACCAACCAACAAATTTGCAAAAAAAAATAAAATAAAAGAAAAACAAATAAAAATTTTTTGTATTTCTCTACACAACTTTCGTTTTGATATTGTTAAAAAAATCAAAATGTATTGTTTGTTTAGTGGGGAAAAGTATTATTCAAAAATAAAATTATAAATTGTGTTTTTTTTATTTTGGAAAAATATGGGTCTATGGTTTAAGTGAGAATTGGGGATTCAAATAAAATTGCAGCACTGTGGTTATAGAACACAGTGTTCTTTACACCACTATAGTGGGAAGGGTATTAAGCATTTGTGCTGGTGTTTCGGGACGGTCTCTTCTATAGTAGCTTGTATGGGACCAATTATCGATCGGACGTTAAAATTATTTATAGAAACATTTCTCTATATATAAAAGCAATATTTGTGTCAAATTTTGTATGGATATCATTATTTTATAATGAGTTATGTGCATTTAAGTGTTATTCTGAAAGGGACCTTGTATGGGAGCTATGACCAAATATATGGACCTATCCAGAAAATTCAATTTCTCAGTGTTACACACGGAATGAGAAACTTATATAAACCCTCTATCACCACTGATGGTATAATGAATCACATTTTAAATACATATAGGAGTTAGTTAGGAGTAGACATTAGTTATTCAAATGGGTTCTAAGCCCAGTTTTTATAATTACCATCAAAACAGAAGGGGTATATTGATTTTGTCATTCCGTTTGTAACACATCGAAGCAGATCCTCAAACAACAGCTTTAACGGGCAAAAATACGAGTTAGCGATGAAATTCGACATAAATAAGTTTCATATGAGTCAAAATCTCTCTACCAAGTTTTATAAGGATCAGTCCACAATTGACTCTACTCCCATATAAGGTCCCCTTTCAGAAAATTACTTTAACGCTAATTACTGGCTTAAAAATATGAGTATAGCTATGCAACACGACATAAATAAGTTTCTTACAAACTAAAATCTGCCTATCAAATTGCATGAGGATCGGTACATAATTAACCCTACTCCCCATATAAGTTTCCCTTCAGAAAATGACTTTAAAGCTCATTACTGGCTTACAAATACGAGTAACTATAGCGCTTTAATTTGACATAAGTTTCTTACGAGCAAAAAAAAAGAAACGGTCCATAATTGACCCTACCCCCCATATAAGGCTCATCTTCAGAAAATGACTTTAACGCATATTACTGGCTTAAAAATGCGAGCATATCTATGAAATTCGGTATACATAAGTAAGTTTCTTACAAGCCAAAATCTCTAGACCAAATTTAGTGAGGATCGGTCCATAATTGATCCTACCCCTCACATAAGGTCCCTTTTAGAAAATTAAGAGTACAGCGCTGAAAATCTACATAAAAAAGTTTATACTTAGTAACATAACTCTTCATTCTGAATTCAATGAGTATAAGTTTGTCATTCCGTGTGTAACACCAAGAAATATTCATCTTAGACCCAACAAAGTATACACATATATTCTGGGACCTTGTGAAATTCTGAGTCGATTTAACTATGTCCGTCTGTCGGTGTAAAACACGCTCACGTTAAATAAAACTGAGCAAAGAAAACCAACTAAATTCACCTGAAATATTTACTATTGTCCTAAGCAGTTTGTTATTGAAAATCAGCAAAATCGGTTCACGACGTAAAAAGTTATGAGTACAAATTTCAGACTACCTCGAAAAAATATCATGATTTTTTTTTCCGAAAACAAATTCTTAGAAACTACCAAAGATATTCGATGAATTTAGTCACAAATAATTTTTTTCTGCCAGGGATAAAGTATGCTCAAACTTATAACAATTGATCCAATATTTCTCATAGCCGCCATACAAAGGTATATATTCCCGGAAATTAGTTTATCGTTAATAACTCTCTCAAATATATCGATATCAACACAAACTTTATAGTATGAATAGAAATCATACTACTAACGTAGATCTCAGTCGGGCCACAATTGGTTATAGCTCCCATATAAGGTCCACTTCCGAAAATCACCTAAACGCTCATATTTCATTGATAAATAAAACTATTGTGATAAAATTCGAGTTGAATATGTTTTGTGTACATACAAATCTTTCTACCAATTTTTTTCCGGATCGGTCCATATTTGGTAATAGGTCCCATGTAAGGTCCACTTCAAAAAATCACTTAAACGCTCATTTTTTATTATAAAATAAATCTATCTTGATAAAATTCGACACAAATATGTTTTGTGTACATATGAATCACTCTACGAAATTTTTCCGGATAGGCCCGAAATTGGTCATATGTCCTATATAAAGTCCACTTACGAAAGTCATTAATTAATAAATCTATTGGAATAAAATGCGACTTGAATCCTTTTTTTGCATTTAAATCATTACACTTAATTTTTTCCTGATCGGTCCATAATTGGTCATATCTCCCATATAAGGCCCTTTTCCGAAAATTACTAAAATGCACACAGTGTTATCGAGAAAGTTGGCATAAATGTGTATTTTGTATATATAAATCATTATACGAAATTTTTTTCCGTATCGGTCCATAAGTTTTCTTAGATCCCATATAAGGTTTACTTCTGAAAATCACTTAATACCACTTAATTCGTTACTAAATGATTATATCCGTATAAAATTCGACATGAGTATGTTCTATGTTTAGATAAATCATTCTATTTAAGATTCGGCGTAGCCGAATGTAGCATTCTAACTTCTTCTTTTATTAAAATACGAGTTTAGCTATGACCCGATAAATGGTCACGGTTGTGCACTCATAAATGTGTTGATTATCAGATATCGATATAATATAGTTTAAAGAATGGTAAAATATAAACAAATTTGACCCTAGCCCCCATATAAGTCCTCGTTCGGAAAGTTAATTAGCATTAATAATTAATATATAACAAAAATAAACTTAAAGAATTTATAAAACTTGTTCTCACCGGCAATTTTTGAGATCATCGGTCCATAATTAACTCTATCCTTCTTATGAGGATTGATAAATGGTCTTCCAATAGTGGCTTCCGAACTATGACAGTTGATAGCGGATATTGTCGAATTTGTTTATTTGGATGTCTTTTATTCAGTTGATTTTGCAAAATCACCTAGAACGAATATAGTTCTAACAAAATTGTCGAATTGTGGACGATAACGATACCAATCCATATGATTTTTAAATTGAAAATTTCCCATAAATCTGTATAAAATTAATTGTTTATATAGAATGATTCTAAAACTTGATCTTTAGTAAATTATTTTTGTCCTTGGAACTAGTTTTAGACAACACATAAATCAGATTTTAGATTGAAATTGTAGGGATTGAAAGGAATTTTAAGAGGCTCCTAAAGAACTTTTATAATTTACTTAGAATTAGTAAATTTTTTCCGGGTTTTTATTTTTCTGATAGATACATACATTTTTACTTACACCGATTAATCTGAATAATATTCGTATATGGCTTATATGTACATATGTATGTATGTCTGTAGTATAGTTACAACAATTATTCATTTCATCTATGAACTTGTGGAACTAATTTATAGGTTTTTTTTATGCAAAGAATTTTTAATAAAAAAACGAAAAATTTTAAAAAGTAATTTATTACATATGAATAATAGAGTCATTATAAATTCATTAGCGCTTTTTTGTTCTCGTTGTTTTTTTTTTATATATTACAATAATTTAAGTGAAAATTAAACTTATTGTTTTAATATTAGTTTTTTTACGATTTTTTTTTTGTATTTGTTGTTATTGTGTGGCTGTTGTAATTGTATGATACTTACTACATGGAATGGTTATTAACTGAACTCTTTAGTTAAGTGTTACAAATTTCATTAATTATTCAATCTGCCAAACACCATGAACAACCAGTCATACATTCAATCGTACGTATGTATGTATGTAAGTTTTTTATGTATTGTTCATCCATTAGTAGAGAAGGTATGATTGTGCTTTATTTTAGCTTTTTACATATTTTTTTTGTATTTTATTTATTTTTCACAGTTGTATGAATGTTCAAGTATTGAATACATTTTTTTTACCTCTTACAAATAGATTTGAAGTGAAGCGTTTTTTTATTATTATTATTATTTTTCTAATTCTTGTTTCTATCATTTGTTGTTGTTTTTTTTTTGTAAAGCGTCATTGTTTGCTATAAAATCTATGAATAAATAATGCTGAAAATGAAATCTATTCGTATGTAAACGAAAACTGAAAATAAAATAAATTAATTTTTAAAACATTGTCGAAAGGATGTAGGTGCGAGCATTTTCAACACGCATGAGTAAATTTCCGACCATTAGGTCGTCAATTGTTGGCAATAAAATTTATTTGAAATAAAA